AGGTAACTTTTCTATAAATCTTGTCGTTCCAACATATATATAAATGCGTCAGACACCTGGTATCATCGACAAAACTTTTATTACAAAGAGTTTTAGTGGCGCCATCTATCCAAGGTCCACAAAACCGTCAGCTCTATCTGTTCCCGCGAACTGCCGCCAGGGGGAGGGGGACAGGGCCGGACGGCAGAGCCGTTTATCGAGAGAGTTTGGCCATACATTGGTTTGAATAGGCGAGCATCTAGGGGCCAACCACAGGCCGCGAAACAGCCCCTAGCGGTGGTCGTGAGCTCTAAATTTGTGACACGACTAATTCAAGCCGTTTTAGCGTCGCTAGAGTTAAAAGGTGTAACTCTCAGTGACTGAAAACTTTCTGCGTGCGAGGTTTTTGTCACGCCAATATTCAAGTGCAGAATAAACGAACGTGCGCTCCAAACCAAGGCCAACTTGCTAGAAACAGCGTTTAGCTGAGACGGTGAAAGAAAGCACTGCCAAAGCTAGCGCACGAGCCGAGCGAGACTCCGCGTCTCCAGACGCTCGCGCGCATCACCCTTTGCACTGTTTTCTTTCCGCCAGTCACAGGACGCTGTTCTAACAAGCCAACATCAGCAGTGCAGAGAAAGGCATGGGCACGAGCGCGTGGCTTTGGAAAGTGGCTCCTATGCACGAGTTCTCGTACAAACAAAAGCGTTTTGCTAAGCTAGGTTCACGCGCCTGTACCTTTGTCTTCACTGCCGACATTTGTGAGATGGAGCAGTGAGGCCGAGATTGAACGCCTCTATTTCACGCTTTGAATGTCGTTTGCAATATTGTGACGTCGCGGTCTCCTGATTGGTCGACGCTGTGTCACAAATTTAGTTTACGCTCTAAGCGCGGGGGGAATATTCGGCGCTGGCGACGGCCTTTGCTCCGCCTATTGGCCAAACTCTCCCAATACACGGCTCTGCCGGACGGGTATGGCCGAACCCGGATGAGATTTTCCTCCTTTCACCAGATTGTTCGCGCGGCGCCCGCTAGCACGCGGTCGCGAGCGGATGAGTTCTCGCTGCTCACTGATGGCTCTAGAAAGAGAATTTTTCCGGAACCCTGCGCCTATTCCATCAACGTCACTACGCACGTGACCCGGAAGACGACGTACGAGTTGAGAGGCGGCAAAAGCCTGGATCTTTTTCATTTTTTTAAATAAAAACTAGGGTATCCAGGCAAAACCTGTTTTCTGTAGTTCACTTCAGAAGTGTCAGGCATCGACTTCCACACTTATTTAAGCAAAGCCTTGAAATTGTTGCACAGCTCCTTTAATGTCAAACAAACAGTAGACTCGATCGACGTGCGAGTGACGGCAGGAGAGTCCACCACCAGCGATGCCACGACCGGCTAGCACCGAGCGCATTCCCCCCCCGCATCACGGCGGGTTTTGCGGGTCCATGCATCTTTTTTCGCTGCCCGAACTCAGGATGCGTGCGAACATCTCGAAAAAGATTTTCAGAATGCCAAAACAGCAAAATTTTGGCTTTAGATTTTAGATTGGAGTGGATTTTGGATTGTAAAGCAGGGTTAATTGCCAAGCGCAAGTCTCGAAAGATCACGCGTGATCGCCGAGAAACCGCCAACCGCCTCTGGATGTGTCTGAACGGGGTCGCTCATAAACCGTATCCGCTTCGCGAAAACGCGGATCCGCTTCCAGCGTGAATGCGCCATAGCTCGGTTGGAGTTCCCAGAAATGGCATAACATTCCAATTGCGGGGCGCCTGTTCGTCTGCTTCTTTTGCAGGGATTGTGCTGACGTCAGAACGGGTTGTGCTGACGTCAGAACGCTGGACGCTCTGATTGGATCAGATTGAAGGATCGTGGGTAGACCTCACGGCATGTTGCTTTGATGTCTGCCCTCTACCCCTCAATCAGAGCTCGGCGTTCTGACGTCACCATAACCCCTGCAAAAGAAGCAGACGAACTTGCGCTCCCCATTAAATGGTAGAAAAATGAAAATCGGTATACCTGCCCGCCGTTAGCAAAAAATGTTCCGGCTTCCTTTTCAGGGAACAGACGGTGAGAGTGCAGGCGAGCTGGTGGTAGCTAATCATGTCGTGTTACACCTGAGACTGCGGTGGAAGAAATCGGAAGAACTTTCAGTAGAAGGAACAGACACAGAGAACGTCTCAAACTCAGCTGAGTTTGAGACGTTAGCTGAGTTTGAGACAGTAGCTGAGTTTGAGACGTTCTCTGTGTCTGTTCCTTCTACTGAAAGTTCTTCCGATTGCTTCCACCGCAGTCTCAGGTGTAACACGACATGATTACTTTTCAGGGCATTAAAAAAGAGGTAACATACATTATTTAAAGGACAATCCTGCTCAATTCCAAAAATGTCGGGATAATGAGGGATTTCACGTCAGAAAGCGCTAATAAAAGGCGCTACGGCACTTGCTTCGAGAAAAATGGGATATATATTGTTAATTCTTACTTTAAATATGAGCAGATATCGAAACCGAAACTTTGGCTCTGTCCGGCAACGTTGGCTTCGGGCAGCCAAAAACAAGATGTCACTTGATTCACTTCGCAACGATGGCTGGGATTGATGCGGGCCAACGGGCCACCGTTAGGCCGGACGTGTGTCAGGCAGAAGTATCGTCTGCACTAAAGCCCCTCGATCTGTTTCCGTTTGTGTTGCAAGTTGCGTCAATCCGCCAGTGCACGATGCTTGTGTCTCGAGCGGCCTTTGGTAGCATATTGCGGCGCAGCACTGAAATGAGCGGCCCTTGGAAGCAAATGGCGGCGGAGCACCTCTCGTGGCACATGTGTTGTGCGTTTCCACAACAATGGTTGGTGGTACTTGCAAGCTTAGACTTTATCAAGGGACTTTAGTCTGCACCGCACTTTTCACCACATTTGGGTGTCCACAACATTCGACGACATCTGCACAACTACGGCATCAGTTCGTGCACGTAGTGTGAACGAAAGTCCGAGAGATAATAATCACGAACGGTAAGACGACGACGGCTGGACAACCCACCAAGAATCGCGCTGCGCAGGCGTGTTACGCCAATCATGTGGACACCGCTGAGTGCCGAAAGCAAACGTTGCTTGTCACCCCTTACTCGTGCCCGGAGAAGTGAACATAAACAAAAAGGGCAATGGTGATGACGTTTAGCTCAATGTTGGCTACGCCAATCTCGAAACCCTGACTGTGCTGTTAACTGCGCCTCAGTTCGCCCGCTAGATTCGGCCGGTTTCGACAGCTTTGCACATTGAAGTTTGCCGGACCGTTTCACAAACTTTTAGACAGTCAAGTCATAATATTTTATGTGTGATCTTCGTATGTGATACTAAAAAGGACTGCGTTGTTTTTTTTTTGTTTTTTTTTTTTTCAAAAACCAAAATGAAGCGGAGTTGGCTTTTAAGAGAAATATCTTGTGTCTTTTGTGTTGTTGTGTTGTGCTGTATCTTGTTTCATATCTTTTTTTTTTTTTTTCAGAATCAAAGGCGGCACTCCTGGAGGAGATGTCTCACAAAAATCGAATGATTATCCCACATATTTTTGAGGATCGACGCGAAGTAAGTAAATATGTTCTTTAAAGCGGCAAGAAATTATTGTTCACACAGAAAGAATAAAACATTGAAATAAAGGAAGGACGGACGCTCACAATTATTTCGTAAGGAACTGTGAGTGTCTGTTCTTCGTCCATTTCGGTATTTTATTTCTGTTTTAACTATCATCCAATGCGCTCTGCTCTGCATACATGAAATGATTTTTGGTCTTTTACTGAATAGGCACTTTAAGAAATCCTGACTGCTCAAAAACCATAAGCAGGAAATCATTCTCATTTCAGTGTGAGACCGTCTGCAGAAAAAAAAATATAAACCCGAATCTGCTACTCTTTTGGAATCAGCAAAAAAATGAGCTGCCCAGCATTCCATGATGTGTTGCGAACCAAAAGTGCTTTCGGTGCCCGTTCTTGTAGCTCATAACCAGAACGACTGAATGCACAATACAGATTAGATAGAACATTGCATTGTCAGCTGATTTCTGCATGGTCTGTATCAATTCCTCAACAAGAATTCGGGTTCACATTCGTGGCGAGTTCGAGTCTTAGCAAAAATCACCTAACTCTATCAATGTTCTGTGCACAACACATTCTAAAAGTATTTCCAACCCTTAAAACGTGACTGTAATGCACATTGGCTGCATAAACTGGCAGAACATCTGGCGGCTTTGAAGGATTTTCGAAGTAGATAAAGCAAAAACTTGTATGCTGTTTTGTTTTTATAAACTTTTACAGTAAAATGAAATATAATAAAGTACTTTGTATATTCTAGGCATCACCATCACTTTCTGCCTCCTCATCCCCGTGTAAGAAGCTCAGGCAACACGAGGCGACTGCAAGAAAAAGGCAGCTGACATGCCTTCTCGGCAAGAGGAAGTTGGGCAGCACCATTGAGGATGACATTCCTGAAGTTGTTCCTATGGCAGACCTTGACAGAGCTCAGGAAACAATACGGTCTCTCCGTGAGAAGCTCTGCAGGGCGGAAGAACCGAAGGTGTGCCCGACATGCGCCGAAGGGGTCGTGGAGGCAAAGCTTCAAGAAGCTCTCGCAACTATCGAGCGACTCCGTGCAAAGCTCAGCGATGAGCAGCACACAAACTTCCGCCTGACACGTGCCGTCCTTGACCAAATTGGTAAATTACCGTCATATTTACCCCTCGCATGTTTACAACTTACGCTTTGTAATGATGTCTCTTGTTTACTAACTGTGGTGGCGAGCCCTCACCTATACAATGGAAGATGCAGCGAGTTGGTTGATCATCTCCCATTTGGCTGAGAAGGGAATATTGATTCACAAGGTCACTGTGTACCTTTTCCAGAGATAGCAAGAGAAGCCAGCCTTCAATCTACTCCAGTGCCGCAGGGTCAAGCAGCAGCAGTGACTGCCTCCGTGTCAGTGCCGGTGCCTGGCCCTAGCATGCACACAGGAAAGTCCAGGCCACAGCCCACTGCTGCACTTCGAGGAAATGCCTTAGCCGTGGCTGCCTCTGTGTTGGTGCCTGGCGCTGATACGAAGTCCCAGGGTGATGCAGCCAATGCTCCAGAATCCTCATGTGAGCGCACTAAGACGACATTCTGGTGTTTTCTAATTGGCCATCTGTTTCTTGCTAGACATTACTGTAGTTACTAGAATTTAGGCAGGTCCCTGCACTGGAGAATTCTTTGAGAATAGTAAAACAGATTTCAATATAAGTCAACCCTAACTTTAGAGTGACTGAAGAGAAGGAAATTTGTACAAACATCAGCAATGAAAAATGAAATGCTGATGACCCCATTTTCAGCATTTGTAGCAAACAAAGAACAAGCCTGTTTTTAAACTTTAATTTCAAATGGTAATAGCAATAGTTACAATAGTGGTACCATTAGCACTTTAAACAATTTGCGACATACAGTGTCAAGAAAATGGTTTGTCTGAGCCTTAAGCCATATAGTGAGCGTTTGTACCCCAAATACAATTCTCTGAAATTCGCAACCTTTATTGCCGTCTGACCTTGGGATGTTCGTGGACACGCACAATACGCTTGGTCTGTTAAGAACCTAGAGCAGTTTCATTCTACCTCTACGCTAAACATGCAGTAACAGCAAAGATAATGTTGTATATATGTTGCCTCGGAGCACTTGAAATTATTGGGGTCTTAAATCATGAAGAATGGCATTTAATCGCTTCATTGTTTCTCTTCTGTAGTTTTAGGTTAAATATTTGGTTTTCGGGTTGTTTAACAGCACTTGAGGAAGCAGCCACCAGGGTGCCACCACTGGGCAGCATGACAGAGCCAACAGTTCCGGAGCCACCTGGTTATTCACCTGCAGAAAACCGATCTCCGCGTTCCCTGGAGGTTGACGGGGACGACGAGGTAACACCTGCTGAACCCCACGGTATGCCTGTCTACCATATACTGTCCACAAAAGAAGCATATTGAGCTGTGATTGTTTCAAAGGATAGACCAATTCTTGTGGGGGAGGTAGGAAGTGACTTCTAGAATGTGTATGATGGAATAACATTCATTTTGCTGTAGTATTCATGGTGATATTTTTGTGCAGCTCTTTTTGAAGGAATCTAAGGTTATGGAAACGGCACCCAAGGCATAGGGTGAACTTTAAGATAGGAACCACCAATATGGAAGACTCATAAAAAAACACTCTTCTTTCTTTTGTTAATTTCATGTGCATTCTTCGTCTTGGAATTTCACAATGTCAAATGTGAATTTGCCCCAACCCTTTTTGGGGTTAGAGACAAATTACAAACTGTGTGGACATTGTTTTTTTGGCTTGCCGATTTTAGATACTTGCAAAATGGGCAGTTCTTGGCTGATCATGTCCCTTTCTCTCCACATTAAAAAAAATGTTGGACAACATCCGAGCACAGCGTGCCCATCACTTGTTCTGTGTTGGCATAGGATATGGGAATCAGTACTGTGTATGCGGTGCTTTCGCCCGCTCTGGGAAAGGAAAGGGACATGATTGGCTCAGAAGTTCTCATTGGGAGGCTTCCCTACCGAAAAAATTCAGTATAAACTGGATTATGAAACAGAAATTCTAACGGTATTTCTTGCTGGCAACCCGAAATCCAGTTAGCGGACAATAGTCTGCAAACTGGATTTCAGGTTTCCAGCAAGATATCCAGTTAGATTTTCTGTTCCATAATCCAGTTTATACTCTTATTTTTCGATAGGATTTGTATTAAGAATACTTTGGCTATTCTTTCTTCGCTGCCAATAAAGATACAATTTGATGTGTGATCCAGCCTGTTAGCTGCATCCCCTGTTGATTAGCTCCCTTGATATTTACTGTATTATGTATTTTATTTTTAAGGAATGTCTTCTTTAATACCTCTCTGGTCAACTCACTCATGGCTAATATCCTCAAAGTGCATTGCTAGATCTCATTGGTTTTTGGTTTGCATATAACAGCAAAATGCATCCTTAACTGCATTAGCATAGATCTAGCTAATGCGACTGGCAGTTTGAAGACCCAAAGCCGGTGACTGGCTGGTGGAAAACGCTAATGCTTTAAAAGATCTACATACGCCCGCTGTTGACAAAGAGCTCGAAGGCGAAGACAGCGAGCTTTTTTGTTAGGCAATAAATCTGTCGTTTCCTGAAGAGTTGGTACCCACATGAAAATAAGCTTAAATTATACAGCAGCAGCTGGAAATTCTGTTTACAGCTGGAAATAGATGCTGCTCCTGCTGGAAATCAGAATTCCAGCTTGGAAGTACATGATCCACCTGGAAGTTTCCCAGCTAGATGAGGAAAAATCTAATTTCCAGAAAGAAATTTGTCCGTTTCTGGGTGGAAACAGCCTGCAATTCGGCTGGTAAAATAGATTTCCAGCTCTAGCTGTAGTCCATTTCCGGTTTCATAACAGAGCCTGGACTGGAAGCATTTCTACCTTGGTAGCTCCTATTATTTTTTTTTTAAGCCCGAGCAGTGCGAATTGCTTTTGAGGAGTGATTTTATATGCGCTGGGCTCACATTTTCAGCGAATCTGCTGCTCTATATTACCACGGCAGTTCCTTGGAGACGCTACGTTAAGCTTTATATTTATAGAATCGAATGACCGGGAAACGCTATTTTCGATTTTACGAAATTCACGATTTAATGAAATAATCCATAGCTCTCCGCGACTTTGTCAGATCGAGGTTCAACTGTAATTTAAATGAGGAATGCAAGAAAACTGTATTTTGGTGAAACAAATAATGTAGTGCTGTTTAATAATACCTCTCAATGTATGATCATCTATCCTCCCAAAACTTTTCTGAACTATGCAGAGTTTTCCTTTAAAGGTCAACTTCGGTCAATTCTGGGTTTACCGGTGATTATCATGTCAAAACTACTAATAAATGGTTCTATATCATTAGTTTTCCGAAAAGTTAAACAGTTTTCTTACAAACCTCGTTTAAAGGAAAAGCATAAAGCGAAACCGAAACTTTGCCTGCGGCAGGCAACATTGGTCCTGCTCGTCAACTACTGGACACCACGTGGTAAGGAAACGTCGGCTATGTCGTCAGTGAAAGCGGCGGACGGCGCCCCACATTATTTTTTCTCTCGCTCTCGCGCTCCGTGCCTCGAAAAGTAAGAAACAAACAAAACAGTTCTTCCAGTTGACGTTCCGCCCAGTGATGGCTGTGTCCACACAGAAACGTTGACTGGGCTGCTAAGCGCGCCGCGCGTCGCCCGCTAGATTAGGCGGTTTGAAGTGAGGCGCCAAAACAACGAGGACACAAGGAGAGAAGCAGACAGGACGAGGCGCACTTTCAGCTGAACTTTATTTTAGAAAAACACAGAAACGCAAGCTGTGCCCAATGGACACGTGCGCATCGGTAAGAAAAAAAGATAGAACAAAGCCTAGCGCGTTTTCCTACGTGACACGTTCATTTTGAAGGAACGTATACTCCCTATCAGATAGAGATAAAGATGGGGCGCTGACACAGACATCGGTGCCACGAGATCTTATGGTGAAGGCCTCCAAGATTTCGCGAGCGATTTTTTTTGCGCCGCTTCCAACAATTCTTGTCTCGTCAAACTTTGGGTCACACTCGCATCGATCACAGTGTACTGTCAATTTTGGTGACCGTGGAGCCGATCCGACTTCGATGGTCGGTTTAATCAACTTTTAGATGAAATCGCGTCGTAATATTTTACGTGTAGGCTTTTCACATGATACGACAAAAGACTGCGTTATTTTCTTAACATTGAAATTGGACCAGAGCTGTCCCTTAAGACGTACTGGTGTCTATAATCTGATTTGCTCTCGCAGGTGCTGCCAGGGCCGCCGGTTGTGGCGAGGCTGGGGACATCCCTCCGCTTCTTGCTGTCCGGGATGGTAAAGTATGTATTTGGGCCTGCTGGGCATTTTGTTGAACCTTCTTTTATAAAACGACTCTTTTTAACGAAAAAATTGTTACGAATTTCGTTGTCCAATGAGGTTATTTGGGTAGATGAGCACCACACAGGCTTTACAAAAGCATGTTCATCATCACATAAACCATTAACAATGTCATGTTTCTGCCATTGCCTTGAGGCACAGTGGCCAGACATGAGCTCATGCAACCGAGCACAAACTGGAGCAAAGGATCGCCCGTGTTTAGGCACATTCAATGCATCTTCAAACCTTGGGAGCCAGGGTACTAAACTTACCCATTTCGTTATCAAAGCTGTGGACGCAGGTAGATAATCGGCATTTCAGCTGTCTAAAGTGTGATTCTGTGGCCTGGTCGATTGCAACAGACCACTATGAATTTTTTTTAAAAGGTCGCACGTGACTCGTACCACTATTCGTAAATAGGGCGCCCATTTTATCCCTGGCCCTCTGGCTTAACATTTTCACCTCCAGGTCGCGCCAGTTCTTCCTGCACAGTAGAGGATCCTAAGACCCAACAAGGCTCGAAGCTCTTCATGCCTAGTTTCTTCTGCCACGGTCAAAATTTTGTTCTGTCAGCCTGTTTGTCCGGTGACTGCGAAATTACTATTTTAGCTGGAAATGCATAATCTTAATTTTTCTATGGATCTGGTTGGTGTGACAATTATTACGTATTAATTTATAGGGCAGTGAGTATCTTTTATGATAATCAATTGGTTGGCATTCAAAAATATGACAGTCCCTGACATGGTTGAGCAAAAGAGTAGAAACTATGGGTAGGCCACTGTTCCAGGATGGACAGCAAATCTATAAGAACAGATAGCAGCCACTTTGCGGAAGAGTGCCATAAGCTCGTTAATTGTAATACACGTACTGCCGCGTGGCCAATTCGGTAACGTATACTGCCGCGTGGCCAAGTCGGTAATATATACTACCACGTGGCCAAGTTGCTAACGCTACTAGTTACAAATAAGTCAAGCTCTCGATTTGGGGTGGAGAAATCAATACTAAACTAATTTGCAGCACAATTGTAGATCTGCCCCACTTTCTTACACTCGGTGGCCAGTCTCAGTCACTAGTAGTGCTAATATTACAGGTGGTACAATGACGCAAGCTGTTGCCTAGTTATATTGACGGGATCATAAAGGCTCACGGATAAATTTTTTTGACGAAAGGGTACAACTAGAGACTTGCCTCACACTAGTATTGGATATTATTTTATGCAGGACTCGGTTGTGCATTTACTATTTTCACATTGTAGGTGTGTACTTATGAGCCTAAATAGGACACTTCACTTTTAAATAAAACCTAATACAGCGGAAAATCTTTCATTCGAATTTGTGGGTGGAGGGGGAGACCGAAAATCTCTTCAAGTGATGCGAAGTTTGACGTAAAGGCAGTCTCTTTTAATGAGGTGATGATGTGCTGCGCTATCGAGGGAGCACTCGGTATTGCCAATGAAGACTCTTTGGTCCTTCCCGCGCTTCCTGGTTGTGTGATACCAAGAAAATTGCCGATCGTAAAAACTGCACAGCAAGTGAAACATATCATTTACCCAAGAAACGTGAAAACAGAAAAAGCTGAAACTTGCTTGAATCTGTACTTTTTGGCTGCATCTAAACTTCAGTTTAAAGCTGCGCTAATCGCGCCACCATGATCAGAGGGAAAGGCAATTCAAGGTCCTAAAATACGATGTATGTAGTAACGCAGGACTCAGATGAAAATATCAGATGGCAGTCTTGGGAGCAAAGCCATTCAGATGACAAGACGCCCTCGACACCGGCAACTGTTTGATTTCCCGCAGCATGAGTGCTGGAATACTTCGCGTATTGCAATGCAACTCCGCTGTAAAATCAAAGCAGTCGATGCCAAGCACACAGTTGCTTTTATTTGATGCTGGTGTTGAAGTATTGACAGGATCGTTGGAGAACAGGTGAGTCGCTGTACCGCTGGGTTCCAAAATCGTAGATCCCTTGGTGGGCCGGTACAAAAACAATGATTCCCACAAAAACAACCAGAATGGCATGGAATCTAGTGAAGGTATGACCACACGCTTGTTCTATCTTAATTGCGGACTTCTCAAAAAATTAATTTGTACCCATGTGAAGTTACCCGTATTCGGTGCTCGATGTTTTGACCAGTTGTGGTAGGCGCAGATGAAAGTGTCAGCTGACATAGACGAGCAAATTCGGTGTGATTATGCTTTGCAATAATGTATACCAGCTCATAGAACTTAGTCTCTGCCCTCCTTTGTTCACCACAAACACAATGGCGATTATTGAACACTGCTGAGTTTCTATGGAAAGCCAATCAAATTCCAGTGCCAGAAGAAAACGCCGACGCAGTTTTATGGGTCACCCTATTGCAAGACAATCATCACATAGTGCCAGTATGTTCTTCACTGGGTTTTCTTGCACCAAATTGTTCCATTATTGTCTGGCGGTGAAATACCACCCAAAACTCGGAAAGCTTCGAAGACCCGCCAAAAAATATATTCCGATCTTTGGACTTATTCCCGATTTTCGCAAAAAGGGTACGATCCGAGACGCCGCCCAACATTTCCATCAAATAAGTCAGAAGTCTAACTCTACACGATAGTAGAGTGCCCACCTGTGTTACTTTTATTTCATCACTCTTTTTTACCTGTTTTAAATCACTTGCCTCGTTGCAGGTTCATCTTGGACATGGGATCATGGTGCCTGAGGCCACACTGAATTGTGCGGCCGCCAAAGCTACGACCCCTGGCCGCTTTTTAAGAATAATCAGCCGCAGACTTTGGAAGCCCGAGGAACTTTATAACCGGAGCGTGTCAGGACAACCCTGCAGGAGCCACCTGAAGCACGGGGCAGTGGGAAAGGCGCCTTTAACCCCTGAAAAAATTGACGCCCTCACTGGTGAGTGTGCCATTTGTTTACAAACTAGATTTATTCTTTATGTAATAAAATACATATATGTGGGAAAGTGACAATTTAAGACTACCGTAGAACAATGAGCATGCACCATGCCACATTAAGCACCCCCGCTACCTTTAAAATGCTTGAAAAGTAAGTCTCGTAAGTCAAACTAGCTAACATGATTCACCGTATTATGTGCGCACGTCAAGCGGTGCTCCACGTGCAGGTGCCAGTGCAAGATGGTGAAGCCCACCGTACTTCGTTCCCTTCTGCATTCTTACTTTCGGACTTGGGTGTGGTGTGCTTCGTATTTCATGAAATACTTTTAGTCTTAGCTTCGGAATGCAGACCAACAAAAAAAAGTAAAAACTGCAATTTTCTGAATTGCAGTTGCCTTCAGCCGCTGTCCCAAAAGGGCCCCCAAGAAAGACAAGAAGGAAGGTGGAAAGCAGGGGCAAAAGAAGCCTGCGAGGGAACTCTCCGTGAAGAAGGTCGTAAAAAAGTTAATGGGGGACTTCATGGTGGAGAAGAACAGATCGGCCGAGAAGGCCCAAGGCATACAGAAGAAGGTCCCTTCTCACTGCTTGGATGCTGAGGAAGACATGTAACGTGTGACTATGTGCAAACATATTTTTTTTCTTTATGGAGTTTTTACCTTAGGATTTGTTACAAATAGCCTTTTCATTTGTTTTTTTAGTTCTTTCATACTGTTCGTCCAGAGGTAATTTTTTTTAACTACAGAATTTTTTTAATGTACTGTTTTTATTATCCAATGCTTATAATGAACATTAGTTTTGAAATATTTTATGTAACTGTTTTTTAAGACTTTTTTTAAAAATAATGTTGAGAGCATGGCAGCCTTACAACGGCGATAATAGCCCACAATCTTCGCTGTACTTGTGAGGTCACTATAACCAACTGTTATGTGTTTATTTTAGGTGTTCCTTTACTTCCTTAATAATTTGATGTATTTGTAAATAAATGAAATTGAAACCTTCATTTTTGTCTGCGATCTTCGCTCCATGGACGCACAAAAACCTCCTGTGAAGTGTTAATTTCACGCCACTTGTTTTTCAGTGATATTGGTCAGCCTGGTTTTTTTCTTCATATCTAGAGTACACGAATCTGCTTTCAAGTAAACTTATTTCTTTTATAGTTGGGAATGGCCTGATCCAGATCGACCTCCGTTCAAGTTCTCCAGGTTGGCCATGTCCGACATGATATCCGGGCTGTCCAAATCCGGCTAGGATTCCAGGTTGGCCATGCCCGGGTTGATTTCCGGGCTTTCCAAATCCGGTTAAGATTCCAGGTTGGCCAAGTCCAGACTGGCCTCCCGTACCATATGACGCCTTAGAACTTCGGATTCTTTCCGACTCTTTTTTCAAGCAGTCTTTTTGGCTAGGGATAGTCCCCTTCTATCCTCGCAATTTCACTGCGACAAAAAAAAAACAAAAAAACTTCTGAATCAGTGGAGGTCTGAGCGAGCATACTTGGGCCAGACCAGTATGCCTCTGCAAACATGACCCAGACAACACTTGGACATCCCCAGGATGTCCTGAGGACAACCTTTTGAGGACATTATGATGTCGTGAGGATGTCCTCAAATAATCCTGGAAACATTCTAAAAACGTCCTTTTGTCCGGCCTCAGGACATGTTCAGAACGTCCTCAGGGGGGGCAGCCAAGGATTTTTCTAGTACATTTTTACATGTTCAGAACGTCCTCAGGAGGGCAGCCAAGGATTTTTCTAGTACATTTTTAAGACAATGCACTGCAGGTGCAGCTGTTCACTGAGCTGTTAGGATGCTTTCAATTTTATTGTTTTTAGGTTTTCTCCAACTGGATTTTGAACCTGAACATGCCTGCAGGAGCTGCCTGCAGAAAGAAATTCATTGTTGTGTACTATTTAAAAGGTGAAATTCACACACAAATTATAGATTACTAGTCAGTGAGAGGCTAAGAACATAGGGCAAGAGAAGGGAGGAAGAAAGCTGACGGAATGCTGAAGAGGAGAGAAGAAAACCTCTCCCCTCCAGCATCCCGTCTGCTTTCTCCACTGCGTCTTTCCTTGCCCTATGTTCTTAGCCTGTAACTGTGAGCATGATTATGCCATTCATTATTGCAAACAAGGGTAACTAACTGTTCAGGAAATACTTTATTGGAGAGAAAATGTTATACATGACTTTTTAATGTCAACACCAATTATGCAGTCTGGCTTCGCATGTTGGCCAGCACTAGCCCGAATATTCAGCGGGATCTACAAAAAAAAAATCAATTTCATAAGTTTCTATAATAAAAACAGGTAATGTTGGAAACTTACCATCATGCCGAACATATCCGGCTTTTGACTGCAGCTTTTTCAGTTTCTCTCCAGCGGGGCGCGGCCACAATTTAATGATGGTCTCCACATCAGCTTTGTTTGTACACTCAACACTTGCTTTCAACGCCCCTGAAACATTGATTTGTGATGACAGTCAAAGCAGAAAACTAAGATGGTTTAGAAAAAAATCATAATTAATGTTAGTGCGATAAGCTCGAAGCATTCGTTTACGCGCCGGCATCTTTCCCGCCGAAATGGCCGTTCACTGCTTTCCGCCATTTCGAAGGAGTACTACATATAAAAAATACTAACCTTTGTCACCGCCTTGCATTGCTGCCATCATCAATTTTGATGGAACAGCGCGGATATACAGACTCGCAGCGCTGATTGAGAACATTTTAAATTTTGAAACACCAAATAGCCGAGAAACATTAATAAGTAATTTATGAATAAATAAATAAATGACAACCAAAAACAAAAAAAACGAAAAAAAAATTAAAAAATATTTTCAGAAAATAAATTACAATAAAATGAAACTTAACGAATGTAATTAAAAAAATTGTTTTATTTATTTTTAGTTGTCATTTATTTATGTCTTTATTATTTACTTATTAATGTTTCTCGGCTATTTGGTTTCTGGTGTTTAAACATTTTAAATGTTCTAATTAATGGCGAAGGAGAAGAACATGACGATTTGAGGTAGAATAAATATATCACTGAGTTGTTAGTCAGCGCTGCGAGTCTGTTCCCTTCTTGTCTGCCTGTGAGTGTAACTGTATCCGCGCTGTTCCATCCAAGCAATCCAAGCATGAATTACAACTAGCCCAAGCATCAACATTATCAAGCCATCATCAACCTCAAGGATATTTCTGCTTTTGTCTTGGCTTGGCTTAGCTTGCTTGGGTCTCGGATGGGTTAATTGCAATAACGGTACGCCTTGTAGTAGGCGGTAGCTTGCGCTACCTAGATTGAATGTTTTCAATGGAACTAAATTCCGAAATACTGCGCAAATACAAAACTAATAGTAATTGTTAATTGTAGTGCGTCCTGGTTTTATTAAATAATTGTTTAATCAAAACTTTAGTTAAAAGATGTTCTAAACTTGTACAACTACATGTAATAATTTGTATGTGAAATTTAGTTTCGCAGTAAACGTGAACTGTGTATACTACCGCCATTTCAATCATTTATTTTTTTAACAACGCAATCAAATTGAGGACGCATATATTACCTCTAACTTTGTATCCTTCGTCCTCAATAAGTCCTCGGAAGGACGTTTCTAGGATGATCCAGCGACTGACGTTCTCAGGATGTCCTGAGGAGGTCTTAAAAACCGCGAGGACGTTTGTACCTTTTGAGGATGTCGGGTGTTGTCTGGGTGAATAAATTCCAACCCGATATCGTTTCATGACCCCTTAAAGTGTGACGACGTCGAAATGCCATAGTCTGTTGCAACAGAAAATCAACAATAGATGCTCCGTCTTCAGCTCGCGCTTGTGGGCTTCCAGCGTGTTTTGCTTCGCGTGAGCCAAAGTGTGTGATCAAAGCTCGTGCTGGAGGAGGATCCTCTCCTGTTGATCTTATGTTCCAGCATAGCCGCCTCTATGCTCGCAAAGCCTGGCAGTTCGACGACGGACCAATGGAGTGCCCGGTCGCAGATTTGGAGCCAGAAGATCATGTAGCACAGATCATGAAAGCCATTTCTCGGGGAACCTGGACGTCAGCGCTCAGCTTTTGCAGCGGCGAGGACCCGAAACCCACTTGTTCGCTTGGAAGAAGTGTGTTTCGACGTCTCGTTGCAACGGGGCGCCAGTCACGTGGCTCTCCTCTCATCCGTTGTCTGCCGCTCCACCTTTTCCATTTCGGCGGCCGCTTCTCGTGGTGATCTGCCAGGCTTCACCAGTATATAGGAGGCTATGGTTGCAGCCAACAATAGTGTGCCGCACGGGCTGCGATTATTTTATAGTCAATAACAAGGTGAGAACGACAGGCGGGAGCATGGTCAGTTGTCCCGCCTCCCAGCGTGAGTTCTCCACCTTCTACAACGCATCGGCGTTTCGTGGTCCTTGAGCGCGCGTGCGCAGCCAAAGCACGACGGTAGGCATGGAACTGGTGCTGGAGGTCGGGAGTTCCAAGAACACGCCCTGCCGTTTTCGTTTTGTCCGTGACTATGCGGGCAGAAATTGGGAGAGATGAAATGAGAGCGCGGGGTACACGTCAGAACACCAAGCTCCGGTTGGAATGATTAGTGTGGGAACGCGAAGCTATAGCTCTCTTTGTCTCCACTCCACTTGCCGAACCCGCTTGATCGCGCAGTGTCGGCGTCCGGCGCTTGGTATTCGCATTTGAACGTGTTCAGACAGTGCAGTGGTGATAAAAGCTGCCTTTGTCTCCGCTTCACTGGTCAAACTCTTTAGAGCGCAAAACTCAGAACTCAGGTGTCCGGCGTTTGCCGTTTGAACGCGTTCGAACAATGCAGTGGAGACATAGGCAGCAATAGCTTTGCGTTCACACGCTAATCGTTCCAACCAGAGCTCGGTGTTCTGACGTCTCCTCCGCGCTCTAGTGTCCTCCTCTCTCTCAGTTTCTGCCCGAATAGGTTCTGCGATTCTACGTTAGGATATATATATTTCAGCAGAACTCCGGCAGGAGCCAGTTCACCTCTGAGTGCCGATCATTCAACGCCTGGATCTCGGCACTCTGACTACGCAGACACTCTAAGGAAGAGAACCTAGCTGTTCTCCCGCTTCGGAAGGACGGAAGAAGAGGCGATCTGCATCGTCGACTTGCGCTCCAAGATCTGAGCGGCCAGCCGACGGTACTTGTCAACGTACGCGCCGGCACAAACGCTGGTGTTGTTAGTGCCAAAATCGAGCAGGGCATTAGAAAGCCTCGATCCTGATGGCACTAAACGCCCGCACTTCGACAGCCACCCGGTTATTCCATGGGAAATTTTGGGACAAGTATTTCACCATCGAATCCCCGGCAGCCAAAACCTTGAGGCATATCAGAAGCGCGACCGTGTTAATACACAAAGGGCCAAATTCCTTGACCAAAAAACAAAACAAAAAAAAAAAAATGAAAGCCGCTTACAACTCCCTGTAACGCCGAATTAGAGCGCAGCTCTTGAGGAGGAGGAGGAGGGAAGGGCACTGGGGGGGGGGGTTAAACTAACCAGGGAGGGGGTCATGGACCTTGGGGGTCACGTGACCCCCAATGCCGATGATGTCATCACTGACGTCACTGATGACGTCATCAGTGACGATGGCGATGCGGGTACCGATGACGT